CGCGGCCTAAATGCACGGTGTAAACGTAGCTAATAACTGGTGGACATGTACCTATGTGTCTGAACATTTATATAATACTTTATTTATTTAAGTTAATAATGGTCTCAAATATGCTTTTTAAAACGTAATATTATAATTTAATTGTAATTTTTAAATGCAATTAAATTATAATATAGTAATAAAAAAAGCATTTGAGATTAATAATAATAAATTTTGTGTAAGTGTCCAGATACATAGGTATTGTACATGTCCGGACACTGATACGTTTACCTTAACTGTATTAAAGATTATCGCGCAAACTTCGCCTTTTATGTGGCATTCTTTTTTTTGGACATGTCAAAGGAAACCTTGATAATTTTCTCTTTAGAACTTGGCTTTGTTATCTTGAAGCAGATTAATTCCATCGCAGGAAATGCAAATGTCCATGGCACAACGCAATAGTCGCCTGTTTCGTACGCCAAGCGTAACCCGAGCGATTAGATGGCTTAAAAATGAAATGGAGCGCAAGGACGAAGGTTCTCGTTATACAGTATAAAAGGGAATCGTTTTTTCTACCTTCGTTAGAATAACAGTAGGATTTCGTCGCGATGACTTCGACTATTGTGCTGTTTTTCGTGCTTTTATTACTATCCCAGAATATCCGCGGATGGCATATCGCGTTTCCGAACAACAGTGAGATTGTCAGCAATGAACTTCGCGAAACATTTCAACCGGCTTTTATATTTCCAGGTAGGATTTATTCAAAGAGATATGGTTTTGTCAATGCAATCATACACGGAGAGAACTTTTTCTTAGAGTTTACCTTAAAAATATGATAGTCGTGGGACAACATTGTATTTCGAAGAATTTTAATGTAAATCTCTCTCATTCATTGATAAAACTACAATAAAGTATAAAATAAGTTTGATTAATTTTACTCAAGTGCATGGTAAAAATTTTTTTAATATTGTATTGTACCACAACTATCATATTTTCAGGGTTTTAAAAGAAAATTTTCTCCGTGTATGTACAATTCTATTTAACAAAGAAGTATGTGATATATCAGAAGTAAACATTCGTACAATATACGATTAGGACAAGATAATTCATTTCGTTCGTATTTGATAGAATATGTTTAAAAACTGTATTAAAATGACTCTTTTTTTATTCATGAAACTTTTTGAGAACTGTCATTTGTTTGAATTTTTATCAGGGACAAAATGGTGCGGCAGTGGTGATATAGCGGATGGCCCGGACGATTTGGGAGTATTTGCGATGACTGATGCATGTTGTCGTGAACATGATAATTGCAAAGATATAATCGAACCAATAGAGACTAAGCACGGCTTGATTAATTCTGCTTTTTACACGAGGTGAATTTGTTCTTTGGAACAATATTTTTTACGTCAATTTTTTTTAATATAATAAGATAATAAATTAAAGATAATAATAAGATAATAAATTAAAGATAATAATAAGATAATAATAAGATAATAAATTAAAAAACTGAAATATTACTTGAATTTTGTTGAAAAATTCTTATATTCTTAATTTTTCTTGCAAAATGCATCAGGAAATGAAAAAGTCAAAGATCATCGATCCTTCATATCTTCGAATCTTTGGTATCTATACTTAGTATATGGATATTTTTATGTATAGATATCGTGTGTGCAATGTATGCTATTATTTTTATGAAAGCATATTTATTTTATTAAAGATATAATCGGATAGTAAAACATACTGTTTACTAGCGTGTGTTGCACTATATCAATGTATAAGAATATGTATGTTTCTTTTTTTTAGCATACACATAATCTATTATAGTTATTTTGTATTGCATGAACGCGTATCATGTTATTTGTATCGATAACCACTGGAAACATAGTTGAACATTTAAATGCAATATACATAGTACATAGACTTTTTACATTGTTGAATACGAAGTATCTAAAAAATGAAAAAAAAATTTTGTTTTCTTAATGAGAGACACGAGTATTTTTTGTCTCTGCGCATCATTATGTGTCGCAGTGATATCATTTTATCATGCGGAAAGATTTAACAGCAATTGTAGAAGAAAGTCAATGGACTAGTCCGCAGTAGTGAGTCTGTGTTGTACAATTTCACGCAACTAGAACAATTATCAAGTTTCGTGCGTGTCTTGCTATAGTTGCGGCTGACGTTTGACGTTGATATACGACGTTGCGCATTATTACAAACTTGGTATATTAATTACGTAGGCAATTTTTTACGATATGCGATAGGATGGAAAAAGCGTTTTTAAAAGCTTGTCTTATAATATATTAAAAACTATATATTATTACTGGGTCAGTAATTTGAAGCTATTGCAAAGATATCCAATATTCACGTTAACTGGAATGTCAGTATAGAATATAATTTTATGAAAAACATTAAAATATTAAATAATCCTTTTGCGGAAAAATATAACGTAATATTGATTGTTTATTAATCCTAATAAAAAGAAAAAAAAACAGTCGTAGATATATATGAAAAAATATACGCCAAAAGAATGTTGTCCAAAAAAACGACAAAAAATCAATCTGATTTTAGTGATTGTTGATTTCTATTAGCGTTTTAAGACGCAAAATAAAGCAAAAGCCATAGAACAAAAGTAGACTAAGCTCGTAATTTGTAATAGACACTTTACTTTAGACACACGGCTAAGTGTTTAAGTAGACTTTTTCCTTAGTTCATTCTTATTTTAAATCCCACGATTATCTATTACGATCTTATTCTTATTTTTCAAAGCACTTTTTATAAACATTACCATTCTCCGTGTTCTTACAATCCTATAATATAAGTAAGCTTAAATTGAAATGAAGCGAGGTCACTTTTTGTTGCAAGTAATCTGATAAAAGATCGTGAAATGTGCAAAATCAGGCTACACTGTTCGTGCGACGAGAGGTTCTACGATTGTCTCCACAGCTCGGAGGAACTCGTTAGCGCAAAGGTTGGCTTCCTCTACTTCAGCGTGTTAGACACGAAGTGCTTCCGCGAAGACTATCCCATCGTTGGCTGCAAACGCCATTCACTGTGAGTCGTAAGCGTATTAGAGCTTCGCGAATAGCGAGTCGATACTCGATTTTCAAATAGGTCAGATATTTGCGAGAGATTCATCGATTTTCTCACGATTCTATTTAATACGCATATACGGATCGTGTTCAGTCAATTTTATTGTTTCCTGATCATATTACGATATATGTTACATCGGGAATTATATCCGTATAAATACATTTTTCGCTTGAAATTGGATCCGCGTAATATTCAGTGGCAAAGTATTTATGTTTTCTTTATTTTCAATAACGTTGTGTATATTTCCGATATGACGTATATTATTATTGGAAATATAAGAAAACTTTATATACACATACTGTATAGATTATGACTCGAAAAAGCGGCGTATTATCGGGAGTATTGGAAACTTTTAAGAACGATGTGCTAACGATCTCTTGGCAGCATTCCTAGACGTTGTTTGGAGTACGAGCTGGACGAAAGCCAACCGAAGATGTATCAGTGGTTCGACGTACCCACGTATTTTCAAAACGACCACCGGATGGTGATGGCCGATCGTCATATTCGATCACTCGATTCCGGCACTTCATTCGCAGACCGATAGGAATCTATTTTGTGGAACCGCTGACCACTGGAGGGAACGTCATACGCGTGTAAAGCCATATAAATTCGCAATCGAAGCCTGTCAACGTAGTTAAATAAGCGTCAATAAAACCGCTCTATACGAATGCTTTATTCTTGCTGTCTCTCTCTCCTTTCTTTTTCATCCCGCCTTAAATGCGCGTTAGATTTCCGATACGTTAAACCGGAAAATGCGTATATGCGTGCGCAAGAATGCGGGTCGATTGTAGGATGGATGATCCATAACAGTGGAAATTAAATAAGGGTCATTAAACGTATCAATCAACTGCAAATTGGTAAAAGCGTCTCATTTTCGCGATTGGATACATTAGTTTAATGAATGGCAAAAATATAAAATGTATTGTATACATACTTATGTTCAACTATTTATTAACAAGAAATAACTTTGTCTCTCACATTACTTCATATTTCTGATGATAAATGAACGTTTCAATGATAAATCACAGAAGTTATAACTTGTAACATGCACGCTAAGAAAAAATTAGCACAAAAAACGTATAGTCACAGCAATTAAAATTAGCAAAATAACAATTCTCTGAATTCATTGTAACATTATCTATTTCCGCCGTGCTTCATTTGCTTTACAATGTAGCAATAAGTCCTGTTGAAACCCCACTAAATCATTTCAACGTAATCGCCTGTTATCGGATCTGAAAAAAAAAACAGAAGCTGAAATACAAGCTACGTTAGCACGGAAGAAAACGAGAGGGTTGGTCCACGGGGCGCTGTGAGACGGGAGATAAGCGACGAGGGTCGAATCGGAAGTGGAAGAGGGAGCGGCTCGCTTCTCTCTTCTCGCCTCCTCTTCTCGCTTTTCCGAGGCTTTCCTCCATTTTACGCGAGGGCCGTGCGGGCAGCTGGCGCTTACTCCGGGATTTGCTCGGAAATTTATGTCCGGATGGAGCGCAGCCGCGTCGTCCCTCGCGCGCCGCGCTGCCAGCATCCTCCTACCACCGATTTACAACTTCTCCGCTCACCTGCGCCAACTTTCGGATGCGCGTGAGCGCGCGCCAGCTCTCCAACCCGGCGACTCCATTCT